GTCTCGTCTTCCGCTAGTGCCCGCGTATCCGCCGCAATCTGACGATGGGGGTTCGTTTTTAGCATAGCTCCCGTCGCTACTGCAGCAGCGCCGATCGCAAAAATATTAAAACTCATGATTTTTTAAATCCAAATCGTTAAACCACTTTAAAAATACCACGAAGCATACTTGCTTAGTAAGCAGAACAAAAAGACCTGCGCCTGAAGTACTTTCAGCGTCCTTCCTCAGGCTTCTCCCCCTGCAAGCATCTGGAGAGAAGAACTGGAAACCAGCACGGTACTCTGAGCAGAGGGGAACGAAGTGCGAGAAGGAGCCTTAAGAATTTGTGCCTTTCCATCACCCATCCTCGCTTACCCCCTTGCCCCAAATTCCCCCGTACCTCCCACAAAGCCACAGCATTCACTCACTACCTAGTAGCCAGTTTAGCCTTCCTGACCTCTCCCCGCTGTTCCCCTTTTGACTTCAGATTCCAGCTAAATCAGGCAATAGCTAATCCTTGCCACACGACATTGTCACACTAAGCAAATACATAGTAAGAGAGTGGTTTATATTGCATTTTTGTCAGTAATGATGTATAACATAAAAGGACTGTCGCTTTGAGTTCAATCAGGTTTTATTTTGAACATTAATATTAACACGGTCAGAATATGGAATCAAAGCAGGCTATAAAAAAAATTTTGGGTCACTTTGTATCAACAAGGAAGGCTGGGCCTCTTCTTCTTCTTCTTTATTCTTTTCCTGGCGAATATTGCATGTTTCACAGCTGATCTTTTACAGATCCCCATCTTTACCTTCTTTGGAGTCTTCTGCCTTTTCTTTTTGTCAGTTCTGTAAAGCAAGAAAGAAATGCGCAGATTAAAGCAGACAACATACACCTGCATTTGCTCGTGATATAAATAAGCTGTCCATATAAGCATATGGACTGAGAAGTACTGTCACAAAAAGTACAAGGGACATTCCATTTTACAGTAAATTTATGACGCAAGTGGATTGTTTTTGGTCTCTGACAAAGGACGTATTTCATGACACAAAACACTGTATAATTTTAAATATAAATAAAACATTTACAGATGTTTTACCTAGAAAAAGAAATCTAAGTAATTTTCTGGAATAAGAATAAATTAGCAAAGGAACTAACCGATGGCCTGAAAGGACTAAACCATCACAACACAAAATATGCCTAACTGAAGAAACAGATAAGGTTTCACTATTTTCTTATAACGTCCTTTTTACTTTTTTTAAATAAAGAACTGTTAAGGGGAAGGATTTTTCAAAAGGAGAGTTGTAAATATCTTATCTATTCATCTATCTCATTACATTTTAGCTCTACTACTCTATAACCAGAACTCAGAGTAATGTCATAGCAGGACATGAAGCAATGCACCTGTAGTCCAGTACCACCTAGCAAGTACCCAGTGAACCTCCTGAAGCTGATCCAATAGTTCTGAATCCCTCACTATGCAATAGAGATACGTCTTTTGGGAGTCAAAACTTACTTCTACTGCTCCATCCATTCAAGTTAAGAATTACAAACAAACCAATACGCTCTGGAGAGGAAGTTAGAAAAGTACTAATACAAATACTTAACATGTCCTTCATTAATAAGCTCTTACAGGTTGGAGATTTAGACCCTACCACAGAGAGCACCTGAGGTACCAGACGGAACAGTAAAAGACACTAAAATAAGCAAAACAGGAATCAAGAAAAAACAAAGTAGTGACTGCAGTCTCTGCCCTTTGGTAAGGAATTTGAAGGAGCTAAAAAAGTTTCATTACTTTAGATTAATTTTGAATCTTCTTGACAGAGGTATCTCCTATGCACCATTCACCAAGTGTTGAATCTAGACAAACCCTTACAGTTAAGGAATTAGGACACATAGTAAGTGACCTGCCTAAATCATGCTGCTTTTTATCGTATGCTCCTCCAGTTGACATATTTCACACAGAGCCTCTGCAACAATACAGCAAACAGATAACAGTGAAAGCTGGTATCAGCATACAAAGCCTAAAATTCTCTCTTCCTATAACCATTTTCATGAAGTAAGAATTACCTCCCATCTCTGAAAGCCATCTTTATAATGGCTTCATTAATATAATTATTAATGCAATATCAAACTTACTGGCAAGCTGTTTTAGTGAGGGAGAGCCTGGGACAGGAATTGCGCTTGTGACCTGCTTTGCCGCAAACGAAACAACCAGCTTCAGTCCTCTCACAAGCATGGTCTTGAAGAGCACAGCAATTGCAATTACTACAGTGAAACCAAGCTGTAAAATACGTAACAGGATTTATGAACTTGAAAAATGATCATTTTGAAACCAAGCTTTAAATAACTTTTAACAATTACCTATGTGTTTATAAAATTCCCATTAAACACCACAAATCAAAATAAGCAAGCTGTTCTGTAAGAAATATACGTGGAATTTACTACTGGCCTTGAATTTAGGTGGCCGTGACTTAACAGGAGTTTATCACATTTCCACATAGCGGAAACCTACCCAATCAAGTTATTTGCTGGCAATTCATATAAAACTGAGATTTTTTTCCCTTTATTCTCTGTCTTTTGAATGATTAAGCTTTATTTCTTCTATAGCATATTTTCTGATTTGTCATCTCAGTTTCTTTGGATGAGAGCTTAAACAGTAAGCATACTTTTCCTTAGAAGAGTATTTTTCTGCACTTACACGGTTTGACACATTTGTTGCAAAGAGCACAATGCTTCCATCGTCTACCATCCTATAAATAAGAGAATGAATAAATGCATTGTTTTTTCTTAAAAAAAATCCAAACAAATAAAAACATTGACTGTGTCTTAAAACTGAGCTCATGACATATGTTCCCATTTATTTTCAGAAACAGCATATACATTGTGGGCAGCGCGAAAACAAAAATCCTGAGAATCTGTGACAACCACAGCAGAACGGCTACATTTTGAAGTTAGCAAGTTCTTCAACTTCCCAAACATAAGAAGAAAGGTATATGTTAAAATAAAGTAAAAAAAAAAAAAAAATCCACACACAATGAATAAGGTATATCACAAGGGGCAAGTAACAAACTTTTACAGTCCTCCTCCTAACCCAGAGGTGTCAGGAAACAGGAATTAATTCCCAGGGAGTTGTGAACGATGTCCTATGAAGTTAATAAAAAGATGCCTGAATGGAACTGCTTAGGGTTTTCCAGTGAAATCAATACCAGAATAGCTTTTTACCAGGGCAAAAATTACAGAAGTTATACGACTACTGCTAAAATTGCCATCCAGAAAGAAGTCAAAGTACTTACTTTTGATGTACATGAATTGCATATCTCACAGTGCTGGTTACCAGAGCTAACATATCGCTGACAGATAGCACATAACCTGGAAAAAATGAAGTTACAAACATATTGGTCCGGGATTTGCTCAAGAAACTACACGAATGAGTTTTATATAAGCTCCACAGTAGAAGTAAGGATCGCAAAAATCACTTTGCTAAGTTTAAGATACTTTTTTTGAGTCATACAACAACCACTTCATACAACCAGAGCCTCATAATCATTTAAACACCTTAAGTACAAAACAGTAAAATTCAGGTGCTCAAATTCAAATTAGCAATATACGTTATCAGCAGCAAATCAAACAGGAAAAAAAGAGAAAAAAAAAAAAGAGCTATTTGAGTTCCATCAGTAAAATTCCCCTGCCCCAAAACTTCTTTTAGTCTTTATGTTCTGAACTACTGTCTCAACCAAGCTGATTATCAGGGATAGCAGTAAATCTCTGTCTCCCACAGGCACGCACATTTCCTATGGGCTAGCTGAGGAATCTCTTCATTCCACACTAATTAATGTAAAACCCTTTTTTCAGGTGTCCAACTCTCCTATACCTTGTTTATAAAATACAGGAGCTTAGCCTGAGACAGCAGAAATTGCTATTGAGCCTAGCATTGAAAAGTTAGGCAATCTCAATACTGAACGTCACCATCCCAAAATCATGTTGAGCCTTTATGCCCCAATTAAAAACACACTCGCACATTCACTTGAGTGTAAAGACATCTTACCTATAACCCTCTTCGACAGGAAGTACAATCGTACTTGGGCTGATGTTGGTGAAGATACGAACAGGGGACTGTCTACGACCTGTCTTGCCATGTTTATAAAGTGCATGATTATCATAATCTACCTAGAAAATAAGAAAACAAAATTTCTACCTAGAAAGCAACCTTGAGTCTTAAATTCAATGCTAAGCATGGACACAACTTTTTCATATTTACTCTCTTTATAGATGTTTTATGAAATTCTCATTTTTTTTATATAAAAGACTAACTCTTAGAGTACAAATTTTAAAGCAAGGGTTCAGTCCGATGTATTTTTAAATTTGTGCAATCATAATAGCAGGCTAGACTCCAGAAATCAAGCTCGCAACACTACAGTTACCATATTTTACTTTTCCCTTTTTACTCTTTTGCACTAGATATCTGAGATAGAACAAATGCGTTGCTGATATTAAACAACTGCACTAATATCTTTACATGGGCTGCTCTTTAACAGAACTATATTGTTTGTTCTGTCTGGGAGTATAAGAGTTGTTATGCATCTTAACCTATCTCAAAATAATTAAAAAGCTGCAAATCCAATTAGCACTGCCTCTTCTGTCACTGCACTCAGAGACCTTGGCACAAAAATTCTCCTCTCTGAACACGACCAGGAATGCAGAGTCTATAGTTTAACACAGGTTTTTTAACACAGGTAAGATACAAATAGGTTTTCCGGACCACCTGTGTCAAACTTAAGGCAGAAACAAATGAAACTACACTTGAAGGTTGAACTCCCTTTACTTCCTGACATATGTAACAGGAAGTGGCTTTATATTAACAGTACAGGACATATTTCCAATAATAAGTAACACAGAAACCAAAGAATAATTCGGTAAACGCTATCATGGTTAAGTCCTTAACAACTTCATTTTTTACATAATTCTAAAAATTTCCATTGTTACAGTTCCACTCTAAACCCAGCAGTTTTAGAGATGAAACACTTTAAACTTTTTTTTGACCAGGACTGGGCATTACCCCCAGCTTACTGACATTTCAACATTTGGGAAAAATAAAACGCTTTTAAGTTCTCAGCTGTACAATAATACGCATTTGTTGAAATTACTGCAGGTTATGTCACAATGAAAACATTGCGGAAGAAATAAGTGAATAGACAAAAGACAGGTGAGAAAGTTAAAGGTAAGTAATAACTGTGTTACACTGCTACAGTTTATCAAAGGTATGACTAATACAAATACAAAATCCAGAGTTCACATGATGAGCAGCATCACAGGGTTTGCAGTGCCTCCCATACAGAGGGAATTGAAGTTGAAGAAGAATGACCATATACAGACCAGTGGATCTTCGATCCACTTCCATGTGTTTTCTCATTTGCACTGCACACCACAAATCAGCAAATTCACTGGCCTTAGTCATACGGATAATCCCCTCACACCGAAGCTTGGGAAAATCACTGCCCTCGGTCTTACCTGATAATCCATCATATTGAAGCTCGGGAAAAATTCAAGAATGCGAGACTCAAAGAAGTATGGAAATATCCAGATCATGGGCATCTCTTGGCTGTTATGACCTAAAAATGAAGACTCACATGTACTTTAAAGAAAAACAGTGTACATGAAGCAAGAAAAATTTACAGTAACTGTTGTGAATGCATGAATGGGTGCATGTATGTCATGCTGGGCATAAGAACGAGTTCCTTTAAGGTAACAGAATGTTGTTGGCATATTCTATATATATAGAGAGTGGTAAATTCTACTTAACTCAGATTATTTGTTTCATCTGCCTAGGTTGGTAAGAAACAGTAAAGGTTTGATAGCTTGTTCTCCTCCTCCTCTAAAGTCCATGTTAATTGTAAAGTAGATTTGTAAACATTTTAATAGAGAATTGGGTATTACTTAACTAAGAGTATCAGGAGGGTAAATCAAATATGTGGTACTTCATCTCTAGAAACTGTAATATGAGTGTGCTACCACTCACTAGAACATCAAGAATCACGGACTTTTCAATAAGTACTTTTTCTTAAGGTGACGTTACAAGCTCAACCCACCTATCTGCTTGTAATACCTTCTTTGTTTGTCTCCTTCCACATTGCCATTAGCTTTTTAAAACTAGAAGCCAGTGCTTCCACTAATCCTCCAAATGGAGGATCAGTCACCATAATGACCTTTTCATCTTTGTCCTGATAGAAGAATTGCCTGCAAGTTTCATGTGCAGCCTGTAAGAGACAGAGATTAGTTTCCAGAAGGTTAGAATCAAAAACTGCAAATAGGCTGTATCTGGCAATAAAAGGATTATTTTAGTAGCTACAATGTTGAAGTACGTTATTTTTTCTTGTAGGATTTCAGAAAAAAAACATGAGAACTGAAGCACTGACAACAACTGCCTTATTCAGTCAGTGCTGATGTATCAAGGACAGATACAGTTCAAGCTTTCCAACTTTCCAAAAGAGCCTACTCCTAAGGGTCCTAAATTTAACTTGGAAAAAAAAGAGGTTGCTCATACCAAGAAACCAGAGCTCAGGCTTAGAATACACTTGATTCATGTTCTCCCTTTAGTTTTATTCCATAAAACATTATGAAAGTAACAGAAGAACTTTCAGTTCACTGAACACTGATTCAATCCATGCTGTTTATAAAAAAATATAGTGTTCAAATTCTAGCAATCCAACCTTGATTCCATTATTTTAAAAAAATTAAAAAAGCTACATAATCACCACCATCCCAATTTCACTTGCAGCGTTCTCTTCTATTACTTCAACTTTATTGCAGTTCAAAAATAGATTTTTCTACAATAATGTTCTGAAGTGCTAAAATTTAATTGTTTAAATGAGACAGTGCATCATTGCAGCTGTCAACTTCTCACACCTTGAAAAGAAAACTACAGTGTACTGCAATGCAGATGAACAGTCTTTTGTTTTAATTGAATAATATAAAATCTGAATAGCGAAGAATTAAAAAGATTCAAAGATAAGGCTTTCAGACCAGCCTTCAGATTCTTTTTAGATGATTTTTTTTCCGTTTTCAAGAACTCATTCAAAACTAGGTTTTAGAATAGAAAAATCTGAAAATTATCTAAAAAGCGTGAACAGTATCACAATAAATACGTTTACGCAAGTTAGTGGTGGCTTAATAATAAAGGCAGGGAAGCACAAACAGCAATCAAGTAAATTACTGGGATAAATGCTTCAAAAGTAATGTTTAGAATTGAATTACACTACGATTCTCCATAAAAATATACAATAAATGTGCCACTGCAGACTTCCTAATAAACTCAAAATCAAGTCCTCAGTCTGTCATTTACAAAGAAACAAGAAATTCAACACTTTTTACCCATAACACTAATTCAACTTTTTTTCTTCTTTTTTCTTTTTTTTTTTTAAATCAGAAAGGTTAACATATTTCAACCTTGCTTGCCTGGAATAAAGCAGGAATACCTCCTCTTCCCTCTCACATTAAGTACCAACAAACAAGTCCTGTGGCTTGTTCCACTGGGCTTGTAAAGGCAAAAGTGGGCGGAATTAAACAATTAATTCTGTCATAGGAACAAGAATAGTACTGTTGATGATTGATGTCATGACAGCTGTTTCCTACTAGATTAGCCACAAGTTTCTTACAAAATTCTTCACTAACAACATGCACTTATGAACCATTCAATAAATATTTGGCCTTACCTCTCCACCAAAGAAATAATGATTAAACATGTTATAGTGGCAGAATTCATCCTCTGTATAAAACTGTGAATACCTGTCAAGTAAATTTTTAAAGTAAGAGAAAAATAGAAAGAACTTCTTGTCTGCTATAAAGGGCATTTACAGTTAAAATGGGGCCTTAACAAAGAGAACACCTTTGGGTTCCGATCACTGAGAACACATGCTAATGCTGGAAATCATAAAGCATAATTATTTTTCTCATACACTGGCTGTCATAGATGTGTATGTGTGGAAAGAGACATGCAGAGTGAGGAAAGTGAAAAAAGCACCCAAAAGCACCCATTTTATCTTTAAAAATGAGAACAGAAAACTGTGTACATAGTCTTCAGATAGATGCATGGTGAGAAAACCTACCTGAAATCAATATCTAGCAGAAGGCTTCTAACTCTGAAATCTTCTTCTTGTGATGCTTTTGATTGGATCATTTCATGTAGCCTAAAGTATAATTGAAGCAAAGAAATTTAATGCGTAATCATAAACTTCAGAAAATGTTTTGCAAGACATGAGTGCCTGATACTTTACTAAAATTAAAACCAGATACAGAAAACAGAATAACCAGAATTTCGATATCATCAGCATGACTCCATTTGGCTAATATTCAGAGTTTTAAACGTGTCAGTCTTAAAAGACAAAAAGTCAGTGAAGATCACTGGATCCATCATGAAGAAGAGAAATCAAACATAAGCAAAGAAACTCACTGTCGCTTTTACAAGAAAAAAAGCAAGACATTTTAGTTAGCAGATTTCTCTTAAACTGCAGTACAGATATAGTCTTCCTGTCTTGTCTTATGAGATTAAAGCAAGATCCCTCTGGCTGCTTGGATAATCCCAACCAATTACAGCTTAGTGAACCTCTTATTGAGGGAGAAAATCCTTTTAAGTAAATTCTATACTATTTAAATATTAGTATTTAATACTAATACTCACAGTTTTGAGACAGAGATATCATCTGGAAAACATAACTATCCCCACTAACATACCTAGGTGTTCCAACAGAGAGCACTCGTCTGAATCCTAAAGCAATAATAAGGTCCAGCAGGAACTGGCAACTTCTGTCTGCAAATAAATACTGCGCATTTGTTTTCTTATTCTCCAGCGGATACAGAAGTTGACTGGGACTTTTTAACTGGGCAGTGGAGATATTGCATAGGAACTGGTGACCACAGTGTTCTTCCCATTCAGCTGGCAACAGCAATTGCTGGCATTCCTTTTTTTATAACGGCAAAAGAACAAAATTATTGTATCTTTAAATACAAAAGACAGTAAGGAACACATTTTGAAAAGTTCTCCATAAAAGATATAAAGGAGGGGTTCATATTTTATACGAATCTGAACATTTAAAAGGCATATAGTTTACGCTGCTCTTACAAAAATCCACCAGCTATAAGTGAATGAAATAATATTTATGAGAAAACATTCAAAGTACACTTTGAAAAAGCCTCCCCTGAAAGCAAGTATATAACACACTAGCCAAATGTGTTGAGACTCCCCATAAAATTACTGGAGTACAGAGTGAAGGCCCTATATCCGCTACTAGCGAGCAGTCCTGTATGCTTATACACAAAACTCAAGAGATTTGTTACCGTATTACCTTTGCTTGTTTGCACAATGTTAAGTTATAGCCTGTCATTTTTGCATAGTTCACTGAGAAATCAGGAATTTTTTGAACTCAAACTGCTACTGGCCTGTTGTTAGTACGTTATGAGCAACGATGTAAGAAGAAATACACGTATGAAAAAAAGATACAATTTCCAGGTTGAAAATATCATGATCTAATTGCATGTTTCATGTTATTTTCCCTTTGCAGTCAACCAGTTCTCATTTTCCTAAGTCCCTTCGGAATGTTTTCATATTTTAAAGAACCTCGAAACATTGCATCTACATTCACAGTACCTCAACTTACATTACACTGTTTTAACTGAATGAAATATGTTTAGGAACAATACCTTTCCACATTCTGTCTGTGAGTAAAAGAAGGCTGATGATTTCTATTATATTCTTCACGTGCTGCAAGCCTAGTTTCTGACACCTGTAAAATTTTTATATATATATATATACACATACATACACACACACACACAGAGTTACAAAACAAACAGATACAGCTCTGTGTTGCAGATTAAATCTCAACGTTAAACCAGAAAGATGCAATGGTCTCGTGCTTCAGGTACACTGCTCAAATTCTCACAGTCCTTTGTTTCTTGAATCACAAGAAACAAATGTGACTGCAGTGTAGCAGCACACTACATAACAGCACAAGTCTCTCACTCTGAATTCAAACTATACAAAATAATAATACAGTAAAATAATTTTATTCTTCCACCACAGGAATACTCTGGGAAAAAGCTCAAAATGATGAAGACAGTGAGATGTACTTGATACTAATGCATGCCAGAAGCTGCATTCCCTCTAAAGAACTACGATCTGATTCTGCACAATTGATGACCGTGGAAACGTTGCCAGTCTGAGTGCATTTATTTTAAAAGTATGACAGCTCTTCTCCAAGTCTTTTATTTTGTTTCCATAAAACATGCTTATTGGTTTCATTCTTAACAGACGTTCAAGACCTTTGCACAAAACTTAAGAAATCCACTTGTTTGAAGGGGAAGACAATGGAACTCGATGTAACAAAATACCATGTGATACAAATTATGTTCATAATGAAACATCACTAGGAACATTTCAGTCTACATAAACCAATGAATAACCACCTCATTTTCGCTTTAGAGAGTCTATCAGTAATAACTAACACATACAGAGATGAAAGGCTTAAGAACGTGATTAAATTCCCAAGCCAGCCTGCTGAGAACAATAACTAAAACACAATATACTCATTCAGGGAACAGAAGAAGTAACACAAAACGTAGGGGACAATGGCAAGCTTTTCATAAATACGTATCAATCCCAACTTTGTGACCCTGCAATTGTCTGACTAAAGTTCTTTAGATGAAGAGAAAGCGTTGCAGATATTCTGAAACTATTGAGAATCACAACACTCCTTGCCATCTCACTATTTTTTTTTATATTCCATTGTCTGCCTAAATCCACTAGCGGCTCTCCATTTTAATCACAGAAGACAAGAAATTCCTGGGATAAGAATTACCTTTTTGTGTTCAACAGAGCACAGTATTGCCCGAGTTTTTAATTTGAATTCTTAAGTGGTTTGGTAATACAGCAACAAATGAATTTTGCTCAAAGCACAGATGGCTTTCTTTGAAAGTTTTATTTCAAGTGGTGGAGCACTCATTTATACCTGGAAAATGTACCTAAATACAAACTATTAGACAAAGTTTATAAGACAACAATTGATACAGCTTTCCAGATTCCCCTACCACCAAAAAAAAAAAAAAAATTCAGTTTTCTGACAAAAAGGGACCAAAATTCCAACTATTTATATTTATCACAGTTTTAAGCAGTGCTCTCTTACCTTCTCATCTTCCCACTGGAAAAAGTTACAATCTTTCCTATCCCTACAAGCTGAACAAGCATAAAACCTTCTTCCTTCTTCTTTTCCTTGGCTCATCTTTACAAAGAGAAGAGCAGGACCTAAAGGACAAGCGCAAGTACGTCCTGATACACTGGGCAGCTACAGATTTATTTTAGTAGCTGCACTGCAAGTGTCAGGCTCCCAGAATAAAGCAGGGACAAAGGCTGGTGTTAAACAAATCGCTCGTTTCAGGGCCGGCTGCGAGGCAGTTGGAGAGGAGCGGCCGAG